AATATATCTTATATTTTTTACGACAACCAAATATGGTATTTGATGTAGCACTTTTGCCGCCATGATAAAAACAAAAGTGTCAAATTTTTTGTAACAACTTATTTACGACAAGATCTTACCGCCATAAATACTATTTGAGATAAGCCGTTATTGCCATAAAAAATTTTTGAGACTACACTTATTATGGCGAGGCAATATCGCCACAAAAAGTATTTCTGACAACAAATAAATTTTTTATGACAACACTTTACCGCCATAAAAACCCTTTTTTTTTGTACTCATTTTTTAGTTTTTTCTTAATATAAGGAAAAGTGAAAAATATCTCAAAAGGTTATAAATTTTATTTTAAAAAGTGGTGAGTTTTACTAAAAAATTATAGTAAATGAACCCACGATAATAATATAAACACTAAAAAAATGATTGAAAAGTTACTGAAAAAGAGTTTCACTATATAAATATATTAGTCATAATTTGTACCTGAAGATACGATAAAATATAAAATTCGAGCGTCCAAAAAATTAATTCGACTATATTAAATTTTTTCAAAATATATTAACTACAAATTAATTAAATATCAATTGATTAAATATATAATAGAACTGAGTGGTGTAATATTTTTTTGGAGGAAATATATAAATAATTAAATATGTGATAGAAATAAGTGATGTAATTTGACGTTTGAGTCTGACAAAGGGATGATGGATGAGGTAAGTAATTGGTGATGATTTTGAGAAAAAAATATGATTGAAATAAAATTTAAATACACTCTTGTTTTATTATATAGATATATAAATTATTTGCTGGTATCGTGGTCAAATCCTGGAGATGGAAATTAAAAAATGATAGTTGAAGGGTTGTTATTTTGTGACGTTGAATGGGGGTTGGGTAGAATTATAGGAGTTAAGTTTGGTGTGGGAAAAATAAATTTATTATCATATCTTTATTTATTATATTTGTAAATAATTTTATTATATTTATAAATATTTTTATTATATTCATAAATATTTTTATTATATTTATGAATATTTTATTACTGTTATAGTATCAAAAAAATAATTATCACAACAGTGATAAAAATATTCTCAACAATGTTAAAAATATTCATAAATATGTTAAATCACCTATAAAAATAATAAATTTTTTGTACTGAATAAAAATAATAAAAATAATTACTACAATAATGGTAAAAACATCAATAATAATGATAAAAATATTTACAAAAATAATAATTTTTTTAATTATAAAATAACTTATAAAAGTTATAAAAAAATTCATTAAAATAATAAAAATTAGAAATACGGTAAAGAATTTTTTCTCTGGTACCGTAGTGCAGTCATGAATTATAAGGTCAACAATAATTATTATTGAGACATAATGACTGGCACTTGGGTTGGGAGATTGAGATATTATGACACTGACCTGGGTGATGGACTAGATGGTGGCCAGAATAAAGGAATAATTTTGATTATTACTTCTAACTTTTATTATTTTAATGAGTATTTTTATAAGTTATTTTTAATTAAAAATTTATTATTTTTTTAATCATTTTTGTAACTATTATAGATATTTTTATCACATTTATATTAATTATTTTTATAATTTTTTTAATACAAAAAAAATGTATCACATTTATAAGTATTTTTACCATTATTGTGATAACTATGTTTATTATTTTTTAGGGTATTATAATAATAGTAAAATCATTTACAAATATAATAAAAAAATCCATAAACATAGTAAATAAAGGTATCATTTTTTTTTATTATTATTAGGGAACCCATCTAAGCTCCCTCCACAGTCCACGGTACCCAAAAAAAAAAAAAGTGGTATAATACCCAAAAAAAAAAAATTGATACCATGTTCAACTCTCATAATAAAGATTGGTTCTTGAAGTTACGAGTTAATTATGGTATCGAAAAATATTTGTTTAGTACCATACTTTTATTTACCATCGTTGTGAATAGTTTTATCACATTTTTGGATTTTTTATCATTATTGTGATATCCCAAAAAATAGTAAAAAATAGTTATCACAATAGTGATAAAAATACTTACAAATGTGATAAAAACACTTACAAATATAATAAAAATACACATAAATGTAATAAATTTTTTGTATCAAATAAAAGTTATAAAAATAATTACCACAAATATAATAAAAATACCCACAATAATAATAAAAACACTAACAAAAATGGTAAATTACTCACAAAAATAATAAAATTTTAATTATAAAATAATTACAAATATTATAAAAATATTAAAAATTAGAAGTACGGTATCAAAATTATTATTTCGGTACAGTAGTAAAGTCTAGAAGTTCTTCAAGCTGGCGGCGGTTTTGACGACTGGGTCAGCTGAGGGGTGAGAGTGGTAGGTAATTGCACTGACCGGTCGTTGGAAATTGGACTGCACTCAACGCCTATTCAATACTATTAACCCTACTCCATGGGACCATCAAGCAGCTCAACCCAAATAATAGTGTCCTCTTTTTATATTAATAAAGCAAGATTAGTGTCCTCTTTTTTTATTAATAAAGCATGATTAGTGTCTTCTTTTTATTGACAGGTATTTAACAGTTTATTAATAATATCTAAATTTTTTATATTATTCATAATTTTATATCTAATTAATTTTAATGACCGAAGTTTATCCACTCCAATACTTCTTACTTCTATTTTTTTTTTCTTATCTGCACACAAGTAATGTGTACACAACCCCTGATTATTAATAAAGAGAAAGTATGGAGTTTGATGTATCTCTCTTTTTATTAGTAGTTAATTATAAGTTTGTTACTAATATTTCATGTTTTCTTTTATTTAATCACAAATAATTTTTTTTAATTACATTTAACCACCTAAATATATATATTCTAACTTTCATAGCTATCTTCTTTTTATCTGCACACAAGCTAGATGTTTGCAAGACCCCTAGTACTATTAAATTAAGAATAGGGAAAAGTTTGGTCTTCTCTATATATATATATTTTTTTTTGGTGAATTGTTACTTTATAGTATAAATTAAAAGTAATCTGAAGTAGTAGTATTTTTAAAAATAAAATAAAATAAATACTAATTTATTTAATTTGTCATCTATAACTTTTTATCTTAAACTTCTCACTCTCCCGTATCTCTGTTTTTATCTCACATCTCTCTTTAATCTTCTCTTTATAATCTAAGACCTTCATTACTTAATTGCCTCTCTTTTGCTCTCTAATCTAAAATTATCATTATCTTAGTGTCTCTCATTAACGTCCAATACTTTCTTTGAAACATGTTACACTTTCATATTTTGCAAATGCATCGGGCTTGCCATGGATTCTAGTATAGAATGAAGGTATAAAATGAGGGTGAAAAGAATAGACATTTTATAAAGCATATTGAAATTAGTTATTAATTGGATTTTTTGGGGTGGAAAGAGTATACACTTCTCACCATTGAAACGAAAAAAAGAGAAAAAAAAAAAAAGAAGAGAAAATTATCTACTTATGTTAAATTTTATTTGAATTAATGATATAAATGATTTATAAAAAATGAGAAAAATATACTAGTCATATTTGTTTTTGGGAATTGATATTGTATCGAATTTTTTTATTTTTGGGTATTGTTGAGAACTCCTAAATTTGGAACAAAGTTTAGTAGCAATATTTGCTTTTGACGCCTAACATTGTAACAGTTCTCACCCCTCTATTGCGAATAAATATTCAATGTAACAGTAATATCAAGTTATCACTAATTAAATTGTATCACTAATTAATAATAGGGTTAATCTCATTTTACACCCCGAAAGATAGTTCGAATCTCAATTTGCACCCTCAAAGAGCAAAAATCTCAATTTGTACCCTCAAAGATAGAAATTTGTATCAATGTGCACCCCCAAAGATAAAAAATCTCAATTTGCACCCTCAAAGATAGAAATTTGTATCAATATGCACCCCAAAGATAAAAAATCTCAATTTGCACTCTCAAATATAGAAATTTGTATCATTATGCACCTAAAACTAAATTGATAAATTATACCTAGATCCTCTCATGTTTGTCACTTAATCATTTGGACCTCTTTACATTTAGAATATTACTCCTACATCTCATGACATTTATGCACGTACAACGTGTAACCCATTTTCATTGATATATGTTAATATAACCGTTAAAAAATATAATTTTATCCTAATAAAAAATTATAATTTCATATTACCCTTATTTTATGGATCCAATATACTCTAAAGTTCAAAATCAAGCTTACCATTTGAATGTCTAATAAAATATAGATATTTATATAATGTTTTTCATATTTTCCTTTTTATAAATATCTACATTCTATTAGACATTCAAATGGTAAGCTTGATTTTGAACTTTAGAGTATATCGAATCCACAAAATAAAGGGTAATATGAAATTATAATTTTTTATTATGATAAAATCATATTTTTTAACGATTATATTAATAGATATCAACGAAAAGTGGTTATGTTTACACATGTACAAACGTCATGAGATGTAGGGATAATATTCTAAATGTGAAGGGGTTCAAATGATTAAGTGACAAACATGAGGGGATCTAGGTATAATTTATCAATTTAGTTTTAGGTGCACATTAATACAGATTTCTATCTTTGAGGGTACAAATTGAAATTTTTGATCTTTGGGGGTGTACATTGATACAAATTTCTATCTTTGAGGGTGCAAATTGAGATTTTTGATTTTTGAGGGTGTACATTGATACAATTTTCTATCTTTGAGGGTACAAATTGAAATTTTTAATCTTTGGAGGTGTAAATTAAAATTTGAACGATCTTTCGAAGTGTAAAATGAGATTAACCCTTAATAATAAGATTTCAAGCGGATAAGGTGAATTTTACTTGATTTACATGAAAGATGAGTGAAAAATTATTTATTTTTGCGACAAATTACTTATTAATTTTTGTGAATTTAGTTATTTATTTAAAATTTTATTATTAACCGATGACACCACCTTATATTATCTTGTGTTGCAACGTTGTCACGAATATTTTCTTCTCTCTCCCTCTCTATATATGTCTACTGGCTCCGAAAGCTGAGCATGAAGAAAACCAGTGGAAGAATCTCCACTGTAACATCTCATTTTCCTCTCTCTCTCTCTCTCCAGCTTCATAGAGTATTTGCTGTGTCTAATTAACGGAGGCCATTGATTAAAAAGCTGTGTGGTGGCGTCGGCCGCATCTCGCGCCCTTCGTCAACTCCTCATTCATATGTTCCCGAATTGGAAACGTTTTCAATTTTTGACATTCTAATCATCAATAATCGAGGGATGATTTCAATCGGAAATCGGTCGGTGATTTGGTGTACTTCGCCGGAGTTTCAGCTATCAGACTCTTCTTCCCTACCGGAAAAGTTAGGGTTCTCGAAGTTTTCGGTGTCCGATTGTGAAAGAAGAAGCTTGAGGCCACATGATAAGGGGCTGAGGTCGAGCTTTTTGGCGCCAATTAAGGCAATGGAGGTTTCAAAAACATCCTACATCAATGGCAATGCTGATACCATTCCAGATGTACGCCAGACAGAATACAAAGCCAACGACAATGAGTTGATGAATGGGTCTAATGGTGTTTCAGGTACCAATTTCTGCTAACTTCCTATTATCTATTTGAGCATGAAAAAAATATATTTGAAATAAATTTAGCCTCATTTCATCAAAATAGTTAAAAATTAAATCAAATTTGGCTATTGTTATATTTTTATAAATTGAAACCTGAAAATTCAAATTTCTACTTATCTATTTGTATATAAATATTCACACACACACTCTTGTGTTTGTCGCCTGTGTGTGTAACTATAAAGTGATCAAATTATATGAGAGATAAGGTTTGTGCGGTTAACCTAATCACCACCGTTCTTGTTGTTAAATTTTAAAGTCGTTGGCTCGAACCTCGTCGTCACTCTTTTGTATGTGTCTAACAAAAAATAAATTACAATAAAGTGTATGACTTGTCTTTGATCCGACAAAAAAAAAAATTATTCGATATGTGTGTAAATTAATTTGAATATCTTTGACCATTCAAAAAAAGAAGAGAAATTTACCTACTTTTATCAAATTTTATTTGAATTAATGATATAAATGATTTATATAAAAAATGAGAATAATATACTAGAGAGATTTGTTTTTGGGAATCGATAGAGAGGGAATTTGAATTGCATGGCCTAGAAATTTTTGGGGGTTTTTTTCCACTACCTTTCAAGTTGTATACGTAATGAATCATACGTTGTACATTTTCAAAAAAAATTTAACTTGTGTGTCTGACAAGTCAAAATCTTCCTTTGCCTTGGCCCTCGATCATATTTTTATTGAATAAAAAATAAAAATATAATATTAACTATATTATTTTTCAAAATTATCCTACAAAACAATGACAAACAGAGTCCACATCTCCACCGCCTTCATACGTGGGACGTATGTGATATGCAAGGCGAATGCATATATTCTGAAAGATACCCTTGTAACACAAAATCTCCATTTCCTGTATTAATCATCGAGTTAAAAGTAAGATTATCCTCTTTTTTTTTGGCCCCGGATTTCACTCCACACCCCGTAAACTTTAATCTTCAAATTTATTTGTCAAACTATAAACATGGGTGTAATTTACCCTTTCCATCATTATTTCACTTTTTTTTTTCCATTTTTTATGCTGGAAATCTAAGTACATAACCCTCCTAAAAATCAGAAATGTTACGTTGACCAAATTTTGAGATTAAATTTAGAGCCCAAATGATATGACAACATATTATTTAAAATTTTTATTGGAGTCCAAATGACATGACACTAAATAAAGAAGTTCAAATCAGCTGTCATGTCATTTAAGCTCTAAATTTAGTCCTAAAATTTGGTTAACGTAACATTATTGCTTAAAAATTATTGGATTAATTCAGTTGTTGAATAAGGAGTGAAGTGTGGCACAAGTCCCCAAGTTCAAGTTTCTTGTACTGCATAAAATCGAAATTATTGATCCGTTTGAATTATATTTGATTTAGCATTGCAACCATAAATCTAAATTAAAAGATAATTGATTGTAATGATTTTCTATTGAGTAATGTTACACTGATTAAATTTAGGGATTAAATTTAGAGCCCAAATGACATGAAAACATATTATTTAGAATTTTTATTGGGGTCCAAATGACATGATACCAAATACAGAAGTCCAAGTCAGTTGACATGTCATTTGAGCTCTAAATTTGATCTTAAAATTTGACCAGTGTAGCATTACTGTTTTCTATTTGATTTTGTTTATATCGATCATGTAATTGACGTCAATTAAAGGGATACAATGACATTTCTCAACTTTAGGAGGTGAAATTAAATTTGTAACAATTGAAAGATCTCGTCTCTCTCTCTCTGCGTAAATGACCTCTTTTCCTCCTCTTCCAAAGTCAAACTTCCCAATTAAAAGACCACACCTTGCGCTCTACTTCAACTCCTCATTCTTTTGTCTTCCAATTAATCGTTTTCCCAAGTTTCACATTCTTTCCTTTAATTTTTTACGGTTGGATCGAGGGATGATTTCACTCGGAAATCGTTCATTGATTTGGTGTTCTTCGCCGGAATTTGAGCTATCACACTCTTCGTCCCTACCGGACAAGTTAAGGTTCTCGAAGATTTTGGTGTCTGATTCTGAAAGAAGCAGCTAGAGGAAACATGGCAAGGAGCTGAGGTCGAGCTTTTTGGCGCCAATTAAGGCAATGGGGGTTTCAAAAACGTCGTAAGTTGGAGTTCCCTGACTGCATATAACTCGGGTTTACAAAGTGCTGGTAGTTGGAATGATGACCTTTTACAAAAAAAAACACACATAAAAAAGAATAGGTTGTAGTCTACATTTCCATTTGCCTTGTACAATAAATGTGTGGTCTATCTATGCTTTTCCATTTAGTCCACAAACTTTATGCTCTTTTGTTTTATCTTGAATACTGAAGTGTGAAAAGTGAACTGCAAATTTTTATGCTTTTTGTTGTAAGTATTGCAATTGTGGAGGTGATGGCTAGTGTAGCTGATAAAATCTCTAGTCAAACGAGACCTGAGAGTGGCCAGCCTTGAGCCAGATTGCCAAGGGGCTATCCCCTTGTATAATTCTGAGTTTTTTTTTAAACTGTTATATATAAAGAAAGTAATTGGTGTGCACTTCAAAATTATTTAGGTTCTAATCATTTACTGTTCCCTTTACTAGGAAAAACACTTTGTCAGACGTCTACGGTGGGGAAGTCCACGAATATTCTTTGGCATAAATGCTCGGTCGAGAAAATTGACAGACAAGAGTTACTTCAGCAGAAAGGTTGTGTCATTTGGATTACAGGTCTCAGTGGTTCAGGTTTGTGGCAGAATTATTAGCCGGAATTGGCTGCTTGAATTATTTTTATGCTTTTTTGCTTTCTTTTTTTCCTGGTGATCTTCATTATTAAAAAGTTGAATGCTGATTTTAGGAAAGAGCACTTTGGCATGTGCTTTAGCTCGAGCCTTGCACTCTAGAGGAAAGCTGACCTACATCCTTGATGGAGACAATGTTCGGCATGGTCTAAACCGTGATCTTAGTTTTAAAGCCGAAGATCGTGCAGAGAACATACGAAGGATTGGTGGGTTTCCCTTTTCCTTCCATCATAAGAATAGGCGTTGTTACGAAATCTGTTCCATTTATTCTTCTCGAAATATGTTCAAATTTCATCCACTGATGAATTATAGGGGAGGTAGCAAAGCTATTTGCGGATGCGGGAGTTATTTGCATTGCCAGTGTAATATCCCCCTACAGAAAGGACCGAGACGCCTGTCGTGCTTTACTCTCAGAAGGAGATTTCGTTGAGGTTAGTGTTTCTACACTTTTTCAGTTGACTGAGGTCAATTTCTTGACAATATTAACCAACAAAGCTTGCCTCTACCATTCACAGGTTTTTATGGATGTGCCTCTCCAAGTGTGTGAGGCAAGGGACCCTAAGGGCTTGTACAAACTTGCAAGAGCTGGAAAGATTAAAGGTATAGTTTGGAGTAAATAGAAGGCTAACATTCTTTAATCTGGATGATCGTTTTTCCTAATGACCTTTTTTCTCATATAGTTCATGTATGGTTTTTTCAGAATGTTATGGTCGATGATTGTGAACCAAAGTCAGGTCATTCAATCAGGAGTTTTTTTGTTTTTGGGGGGGGGGCCTGAGGGTTGATTTTGTAGAGCTGTTGATCACTTTAAGGATAGATAGCCTTTGACCACTTCGGCCTTATGTTGCCTTTAGTTTGTCATCAAGGGGAATGTCATTAGATCATGTCACAGCTGGGACACCCATGGGATTTCTAATTTATTGGTCATCAGTTAAAACTAAAAATTCATCTTCTTTATTGGTCCTTGTTTTCTGGAAAATAAAATTAAAACACTTGTTGCAGTGTCTGAGATCGCAGAGCTATTTAAGAGACGGATGCATGTATCATTTTGTTTCCTTCTTATTTCACCCGCATTGGGGTTTTTAGTTCATAGTCTTATTGTGATCGTTTACTCTTATCATTTTGCAGGTTTTACGGGAGTTGACGATCCATATGAGGCACCAATGAATGCCGAGGTACATAATCTCTAGAATAAAGTAATAGATATTCTTACTTGGTTGAACACATAAGCAGAAGCATGCTTCCGAGCAAAAGTAACCCTGCTTCTAAACTATACATCTTACACAATACACTAGTCTATGTAAGTCTCAATATTTTCCAACTTAATGAACCTGGCATGTGAACGAAGTGCATTTCATGTTACAGTTGCCAAATGATCAACCGTGATTAAGTTGGATAAAATTTTCTGTCTTCATTGCCGACCTTTTTCCACTATTTATATCTTGTCAAAAATATGTCAAACCTCTTTTATATGGATAATGCCATGCATAGTGACATCACTAATGACCTTCTTATTCAACTAGGCCCTGGTTCCTTTCTCCTTTCCTTGGTTTCATTCGTATTTCATTTACATTTCTTTTGTTTTCTTATCCATTTTTTTTTTTTTTTTGACTGTCTGGTTTGTAGATAGTGTTACACCAAGAAGGGGTCGTCTGTGATTCCCCAAGTGAATTGGCTGAAAAAGTGATTTCTTATTTGGAGGAGAAAGGTTACCTGGAAGGTGATTTGCTGACCTATACCCCTGGCTGCGGAACTTCTGTTTAGATGTACAATAGCAAGTTCCCAAAATGAAAATTGCAAGTTTCCTGTGGTAAGGAAACTACTTGTTTCCTAGTTTTCAGAAACTATTCGTTTCCCACTTTCCAAAAACTGTTCATTTTCTACTGTTGTGAAACTACTCGTTTCCTACTATCCTGAACTACTCGTTTCCTGTGTCAATAATTCAACAATGTTTCATGTAATGTCAACCGTCATTGTTATGTCCCTTGAGAGGTGATTTGTGTTTTCAGAAACTACTCGTTTCTCACTTTCTAGAAACTACTCATTTCCTACTATCGTGAAACTACTCGTTTCCTACTGTTCTGAACTACTCGTTTCTTGTGTCAATAATTCAATAATGTTTCATGTAAGATTAATTAATCAGTGGATTAATTAATGTCAACTGTCATTGTTATGTCCCTTGAGAGGTTATTTGCGTTTTCAGAAACTACTCATTTCCTGTTGTCGTGAAACTACTCATTTCCTGTTGTCGTGAAACTACTCGTTTCCTACTATCCTAAACTACTCGTTTTCTATATCAATAATTCATTCATGTTTCATTTAAGATTAATTAATCAGTTGATTAATTAATGTCAATTGTCATTGCTATGTCACTTGAGAGGTGATTTGTGTCTTGTTTGTTAGATTGCAATAAGGAAGGTGGTACCACTTGTAAGGAGTTGTTGAATGATTTGAATTATATATGAACTGGCTTTTCGTCTTGGAATAAGAATGCGCTTGATTTACCCAAATTGTAGTATGCCTCAATCACAATGTGCCTTCCATGTGCACATAACTTTTGATTGTGCAAATGCAAAGTTGCTGTCTTAATTTCTTGACTGACCTTGGTGAAACCATTTTCTAAATTAAGATTTTTTTTTTCTTTCTGGATAAGGCATCCAGTGATGTATTCAAAAAATAATAGGGGCAAAAACCAAATAAAGAAAACTAATTGGGGACACTGGGTTTAATTCCTTTCGTGAAGCTTCTTCAAGCTTTCCTGTTTAGGAGATTTCTCTTAAATTGGTTTTGATAGTCTAATGGATGTGCACATACTCCAGCATCATTTAGGTTTGAGTATACTACATATATGACCCTCAAATAATAATTTTCATATCAATTAAGCTCTTAAATTTGGTCATTGTAACAATTGAGTCTTTCTGTTTGCATCTGTTAGATTTTCTAGCGAAAAATGACAAAGTGTGTTACTCACGTAGGAGGACGACGGCTATGGTACCGACATCGGTAATGAACTAAAAGTTATAAAATTTAAAGATAAAGTTACAACTCAAAATAGTTTAAGTTATAATTCAAAAAATTATTATCAAACATAAAATATTGTGATCAGTCATGAAAATATAACTTTTAAAGTTAAGTTACACTTTTTAAAAGAAAAATTATAATTAATTAAAGTAATTCATGATTGATGATAATCTTTTATCATCAATCAAGGTTCAAGATCGTAACCTTATCTAATTCAGAAAAGCATAAGAACAATGTTCTTCAAAGAATGAAAACTACGAATCTGGATGGTGATTAGATGTCTAGATTGTAAGCTCATAACATCCGACAAATTTGATGCGCACAACTTTACACATGTTGTAATGCAAACTTTGAAGCCATGCAATCATTTGTTAATGGCGTGCATCAATTAAATTTAAATTTAATGCGATATGGACTAACGCGGGTAACGGGAATTGTTCTAATCACTCTATATTGAAAAAAAGCATGTATAGAAATAAGTAATACTACACTCACCAAAGTTTATTATTGCATCAAATCTATGTAAATTGTTAGATCAAAACTATGTTAGTATATGTTGAGTCGCACTGACATCTATTAACATCCCATGTTTATAATGGTGTCATGCCATTTCGTGCAACAAATTCGATGCATCTATCTTTTTTTTTGGTTTAATGGTTAGGAGTATCCGGTCTAGTTTATATGTACATCTATTAATCTTCTCACTAGTTCAATCAAGACCAGTCATCCACGCAGAGATTAGGATATTCATGAGGGATCTAACCCCAAAAGATTGCCAAAATTTGAATTCAGGACGTCTGAATTGACAGTTCGTCTCTATTATTACTTGAACCACCTTTTAGATTTCTACACAACTTTACTCCAATTACAATACAAACTTTTAATCTACGCAATCATCTAATCCCAAGCATTAATTAAACTGGAAATTCATGCTGTTAGGATTGATGTGGGTTTAGGATTTCTTTGCCCATCTTAGTCTGTTGCAGAATACAACAGCATAGCCGTGCAAAGTATGCAGCAGAATATTCACAACAGCTCAGCTCACAGCTCAACTATTGTATTGTATCAGCTGCACCAGATAGCAAAGAAGAAAGAATTAGTTAGTTAGCATAACTGTCAATTGGTTAGGGGTTTGTTAGAAGAATCTGTTAGAATATATATTCTTGTAATTCAGTTAGTAGGATGCACGTAGCTGGTTGATGTACTTAGTGTATAAATAGATGATATAATTCCAATTTTGAGAATCAATGAGAATTTTCCTTTCTCTCTCAAAATCAAGTAGTCTTCCTCCTCACTTCTTAACATGGTATCAGAGCTCCATTAAAGAGCTTCCTCTCTTTTTCCAATGGCTTCTCAAACTTCTATGATAGATTCTCAATCCAGTACTTCAAATCCAAGTTCGATTGAGGATTTCTCTCAACCGCTGTATCTTCAACATGGAAATAGTCCTGGTATTTTGTTAGTTTCTCAATCTTTGACTGGAGAAAATTATAACTCTTGGAGCAGATCGATGTACATGGCTTTGAGTGCTACGAATAAAATTGGTTTCATTGATGACACTACCTCCAAGCCATCTAATCCAAAGGATTCTCTGCATAACTCACGGATTTTTTGCAACAATATGGTTATTTCATGGATTCTCAACACATTATTGAAAGAAATTGCACGAAGGGTTCTTTATGTTGATTTTGCAAAAGAGATTTGGGATGAACTCAAGGGGAGGTTATCCCGGATCAATGGTCCAAGGATCTATTAGTTGCAAAAGTTAATTGCTTCTCTTAAGCAAGAACAACTATCTATAAGTTCAAATTACACTCAATTGTAGGGATTCTGGGATGAGTTGAAGAATTACAGACCTCTTCCAATCTGTTCTTGTGGTGCTTTGAAAACTCTAGTAGATTTTCAGCAGCAAGATTATATCATTCAGTTCTTCAGGGGACTAAATGATTAATACACCAATATCCGAAGCCAGATCTTACTACAAGATCTTTTGCCATCAATAAACAAAGCATTCTCTTTAGTTCTTCAAGAAGAGAGGCAACGAGAAATTGTATTCTCTACTCTTCCTAATGCAGATTCCACTGCCTTTTTGAGCAAATCTACTTCATCAACTCCACAGAATTTTGGTAAATCCAACTCTAATAAATCTCAGTCGCGACCTATCTATACTCACTGTGGGATGCAAGGTCATACTATGGATAAATGTTATAAACTACATGGCTATTCCTCTAGCTATCGCTTTACTAAAGGCAAGAATAACTCCAAATCTGCAAATCAAGTAATAGGCACTGGACAAATTGAAGACACTACATTTACAGCTGACAAAGACCCTTCTCCATTACCAATAACACAAGAACAAGTAAAACACTTGTTACTTCTTCTGAAGTCACAGCCTCAGCCTCAAGCCTCAGTAAATCAAGTAAGGGATATTCACAGTAAGTCCATATTCAATATGTTAGGTGAAGATTCTTCTCTTTCTTTAGTTCTCAATACTATAAATCCTTCTTCTAAACGTGATTTCTTTCCATCTTTTCCTCCATGGATAATTGATACTAGAGCTACTGATCAGATAGTATGCTCAATATCTCAATTGTCCACTATTTCCTCAGTTGTGAACACTTCAGTACGATTACCTGATGGTCGTCTGGTTGCTGTTAGTTATATAGGCACAGTCAAAATTTCTGACTTACTTTTGTTGACCAATGTCCTTTGTGTCCCTTCTTTCCAATACAATCTTCTTTCTACCAGTAAACTAACTCAGCAGATTTCTTGTTGTTTCCTTTTTGTACATGGTGCTTGCTTTATACAGGACCTGTTAATATGAAAAGCGATTGGGATGGGTGAAGAAAGGAAATGACTGTATTTTCTGCAACCTTCAACCACTCAAGTCGGCTCCAGTATCTCTTCTGTTCAATACAACACAAAAGTTAATTCACATCTCTGACATTTTCGATTAAGTCACTTGTCTCCATGGAGATTGGATTTTCTGCACAAGGAAGTTTTTGAGATTTCTCTTTCTAATAATATTCACTGCAGCATTTATCATTATGCTAAACAGAATCGTTTACCTTTCCTGATAGTAATACTAAGACATCTACTCTTTTTGAAATCTTTCATTGTGACATTTGGGGACCATATCCCACTCCTTCTTTGATTGGTTCTCATTATTTTTTAACAATTGTTGATGACTTTTCTAGATGCACTTGGTTGTACTTAATGAAATCCAAGTCTGAAACATAGTCTTTGCCTGTTTCCTTTTATGCTTTAGTAGAAACTCAGTTTCATGCCAAGATCAAAATCATTAGGTCTGATAATGGCAAAGAATTTATCATGACTGACTTTTATTCTTCTAAAGGGATTATCCATCAGTTTGAGTTGTGTTGACACTCCACAGCAGAATGGTGTGGTGGAGAGAAAACACCAACATCTTCTCAAAGTTGCTAGAGCACTTAGATTTCAAGCTCATCTTCCTTTATCCTTTTGGGGAGAATGTGTTCTTGTTGGAAAAATTAGCTTAATTATACATAATTTTACTTAACAAAATAATATCAAGATCACAAATTAACAAGAATATGCAAATAAATATAAAATAACAGTTAATTTAGAATAGAATAAAATAGATACTATAAATTAGAAAGAGCTGGTCTATGAGTCTAAGAGTCGTGTGAACACTGTCCTAAAACAGCTGAGTCTTCTCGCGTGAGGGTACTGACGGACACTAGTGACTTTAAGATTAATCCCAA